TTATTGTCCTCTCTACTTAATAATGCCGTCCTGGGTATGACGATAAACTACATCCGCGCCCAGGAGAAGACCATAAACTATGTCCAAACAGCAAGGCCTCTGATCAGGTGGTTTTTGAGGAATGTGGAACCAATTGTTGATTTTCCAGGTCCACCCTGACCCATGGTGGTAGTACCTGCTAGGGTCCTAGCTATGGGCAAATAGTTAACTCCTAAACTTGAGTCAAAACATTAAGGAAGTGTAAAAATAGGTTTTAATACCAGAAATACTTTCTAGTAAAACATTATTATCAGAAATATATTATTACCAGCTTCACATTTTCTGAAAAAAATATTCGCTAATATATATATATATATATATATATATATATATATATATATATGCATATATATATATATTATAATATATAATATATATATATTATAATATATATATATATATATTATAATATATAATATATATATATATATTATATAATAATATATATATATATATATATATATATATATATATATATATAAATAAAAGTGAACATTGAAGTCAACACTTAGAGGCCACTAAGATTTGACTTCAATGTTGACTTTTATATTTACACACGCTCTATCTCTGATATTGAGCACTTTAACCCATAAATATAGCACACCTTAAGACTATATTTCTTCATATATATATATATATATATATATATATATATATATATATATATATATATTAATAGATTTTTGAAGAAAACAATATTACCAGTAATATACTTTTGATGAAAATATTACCAGCAATACATTTTTTGAAAAAATATTACACGCAATAAAGTATTTTGATGCCATTAAATAAAACCATTGGGGTTGTTAAGCCGTAAAACAATACAAAACAAACTACTTAATAATGTTTTTCTTTTTCTTATATTTTCTCACACCCAGTAACTGCTTGCGTCTTAGTGGCTTTATTGCCTTTCTTGGGGGTGAGATGTTTAAAAAATATCAATCTGTCGATTTATCATGCACGACAACTATCGCTGAACATATCGTACGGACAGAGACTTTTTGACGCAACTCTCTGTGAGCAGCATCATTTGTTTAATTGCTGTACATACGAAGAATGGAACGTTGAAGTAAACATTCGAATGGCCGTGTTATGGTAAATATTTCCATTGCTAATTTCCTCATTCTTTTGTGCAATGTTTTGTATAACCCATTATGAACAGTCAACAAAGTTTACGAGTCGTTTGATATCCCCTAAGATCGAACTGTGTTAAAATATCTGATATTAGTGAATGGCTGCACTAATATTGAATATCGGGAATCAGTTGAAACAGGATAAAGATTTTAAAATAGTTTCGCCTTCGATTATTTGCTTTTCAAATATCAGCAAAAATAATTTTAAAAAATTCTCAGATATTTGATGATGATTTAATACGTTTAATTCTTTCTTGATTTATTGCCATGAAAGTAACATTTGGTGACGAACTCTTTACTCGGACATTTAAATACTGTTTAAATAAGTCAGAGTAGGAAAATTGAACAGCTATACATTTTTGCCTTCAAGTTACAAGGTTATTTATGCCTTTAAATAAAACCCTAAATGTTTGGATTCTAAAAAAAAACATTACAACGCTGTTTCTGCATCTTCCTTGTAAGAAAATGTATTTTTGCTTCAAGAATGAATAAATATATAATAAAATTAGAAAGTTTCGCACATCGCCAGGTTCACACTCCTCCTAGTCTTTAGTCGTTTAACTAATGTTTCAGATTTGGTTCCCGGTTGCTTCTAAAATATAATTCACCTGTATACTTCTAACGTCCCCAAGTAAATTCTGAAATGTCATTTATTTATTTTCATCCTTCAGTAGGAGTTGATAGGTTTTTTGAAAAGGAGTAGAGGTTTATCCCTTGTTTCCTGTTTAGGATTGAGTTTCCGGTTCCTTCTAAAGTCTACTTCAACTCTATAATTCTAACGTCTCCGCCTAAACTATGAAATGTTATTTATTTATTTTCTTCGTTCAGTAGGAGTAGATAGGTTTTTTGAATAGGAGTAGAGGTTTATCCCTTGTTTCCTGTTTAGGATTGGGTTTCCGGTTCCTTCTAAAGTCTACGTCAACTCTATACTTCTAACATCTCCGCCTAAACTCTTAAATGTTATTTATTTATTTTCTTCCTTCAGTAGGAGTAGATAGGTTTTTGAATAGGGTAGAGGTTTATCCTTGTTTCCTGTTTAGGATTGAGTTTCAGGTTCCTTCTAAAGTCTATTCAACTCTATAATTCTAACGTCTCCGCCTAAACTCTGAAATGTTATTTATTTATTTTCTTCGTTCAGTAGGAGTAGATAGGTTTTTGAATAGGAGTAGAGGTTTATCCCTTGTTTCCTGTTTAGGATTGGGTTTCGGTTCCTTCTAAAAGTCTACGTCAACTCTATACTTCTAACATCTCCGCCTAAACTCTTAAATGTTATTTTATTTATTTTCTTCCTTCAGTAGGAGTAGATAGGTTTTTTGAATAGGAGTAGAGGTTTTTATCCCGATTTCCTGTTTTAGGATTGAGTTTCTGGTTCCTTCTAAAGTCTACTTCAACTCTATAATTCTAACGTCTCCGCCTAAACTCTGAAATGTTATTTTATTTATTTTCTTCGTTCAGTAGGAGTAGATAGGTTTTTTTGAATAGGAGTGAGGTTTATCCCTTGTTCCTGTTTAGGATTGGGTTTCATTTCCTTCTAAAGTCTACTACAACTCTATACTTCTAACGTCTCCACCTAAACTCTGGAATGTTATTTATTTATTTTCATCCTTCAGTAGGAGTAGATAGGTTTTTTGAATTGGAGTAGAAGTTTATTCCTTGTTTCCTGTTTAGGATTGGGTTTCCGGTTCCTTCTAAAGTCTACTTCAACTCTATACTTCTAACGTCTCCACCTAAACTCTGGAATGTTATTTATTTATTTTCATCCTTCAGTAGGAGTAGATAGGTTTTTTAAATAGGAGTAGAGGTTTATTCCTTGTTTCCTGTTTAGGATTGGGTTTCCGGTTCCTTCTAAAGTCTACTTCAACTCTATACTTCTAACGTCTCCGCCTAAACTCTTAAATGTTATTTATTTATTTTCTTCCTTCAGTAGGAGTAGATAGGTATTTTGAATAGGAGTAGAAGTTTAATCCTTGTTTCCTGTTTAGGACTGAGTTTCCGGTTTCTTCTCCGCCTAAAATCTGAAATTTTCTTTACTATTTATTTGTTTATTTTTCATCAATAGGAGTGGATATATTCGCCCATCGTCAGGCTAACACTCCTCCCGGTTTTTTGAACAGGCGTTTAACACTTTTCTGTTAAGGATATGGTTACCGGTTCCTTCTAAAATTTACTTTTCCTGTATACTCTAATATCAAACTGGGTTAAAATATCTGATATTAATGCATGGATGCATTAATATTGGATGTCGGGAATCTGTTGAAATAGGATAAAGATTTTAAATGTTCCCAAAATCGAAAACGCCTATTTTAATTTCATCCGGTTATTCTAGTTCCACGTGCCATACCTTTTCTGGATATCTCAGTTTCAGTTAATTCTCTTTAGTAACTAAGTTTTCAAATTCTTTTGCATATCTGTCTGGCCTGGTATTGAATTCACAACTCTTTTGGGTCAAGTAATCTCTGGATTATTTCAGCTAACTCTTTTATCCACAAAGCCATGAGTATCAATTTTTGTGACTTATAAACCTAATTACATGCTATAATTATTTTTTTACCGGAGCTCATATTACAATTTGCTTTTATTGTTTTACTCTAGATCTCTGTATTACTGGTTCCTATATAGTATTCATGTCTATGCTTGGAGCGCTTAGGAGGTTCTTGTAGCATAACATATGCGCTGATTCTTTAAATTTACGTATTTTCCAGTGATATCCTCAGTCTATTATTTCAACATCATCTCCCTTTTCCCGCAGGATTTTGTTCGAAATTCCAACATATATCCACTGAAGAAGGTCACGGCGTACAGCGAACGAAATGTGAATATGACAATAAAGATGAGGACTACAGTCCGGACAACGTCAGTTATGTGCCATGCGTGATACATCATGCGATCATGTATCTTTCGATATATGACTGATGATGCTGATTTTTTTCCTGCAGTAGGTTGCCATTTCTTTCTGCGATAGATCAGTTGCCATCCAAGGCAACCCGGTCTGTCCTGCTATTTACCCATAGCTGGGGGGGGGAGAGAATTCATACCTTTTCCAAGGCTATTAGCACGTAAGTAATTGACATGGATTCGATTAGAATTCGAACTCGGCTCTCCGATTCCTCAATGCGAGAAGCGATCCATTAATCAACTATGCCTCCTATCCGGACAATGTAAATAGTTAAAACACCTTATGTCAGAAATATAGACAGATCCTGAAGTAGGTCGGAGCGTACAACGGTCGAAACGTCGTGAATATGACAATAAAGATGAGGAGAACAGTCCAAGCAATATAAATAGTGTAAATAGTTAAAACACCTCATCTCAGAAATATAGACAGATCCTGAAGTAGGTCGGAGCGTACAACGGTTGAAACGTCGGGAATATGGTAACAAAGATAAGGACAACATTCCGAACGATGTAAATACTGTAAATAGTTACAATACCTAATCTCAGAAATATAAACAGAACCTGAAGTGGGTCGAAGCGAACAACGGCCGAAACATCCTGAATATGGCAATAAAGATGAGGATAACATTTCGGACAATGTAAATAGTGTAAATAGTTACAATACCTCATCATAGAAATTATGCTTATTTTAATCTTGTTGCTTGCGCATCATGTAATCGTCCTTAGAGTTGACTTTTTAGCTTCACTATTTAGAATCAGCAAAATAAATAAAGAAGAAAAAAATGAAAAAGAAAAATATAGTAAAATTGTTAGAATCGTCGAAGCAATAACTTTCAAGAATTTACATTGGACAAAAAAAAAGAATGAAAATGAAGCATTTAGCGTCGGTTTTCATTGTCATTTTATAGAAGTTAGGGACGGGATTATTTTGACTTGAAGCGTTCAGGGAGAATAAGTGAATACAAGTGAGAGAAAAAGAGGGAAAGACTGAGGGTTTGTGTGCGGGAGGGGGAATCAGATGTATAGGGAAGAAAATGAGAAGTTAAAAAAGAAAGAGAGAATAGTATCAATGAGCCGGGTGGGGAATATGAAGATAAAAGAGGAGAAAGATAAAATGGAATCTAGGTGGGAAAAGAAGAAGATAAGAGAGAGAGAGAGAGAGTTAGAGAGACGGGGAGAGATAGATAGAGAGAATCAATGAGAGTGGGTAACGAGAAAATAAAAGAACGAGTAAAATGAATAAGAAGTCGAAAAAGGGATGATATAATAAGAAACAGATAAAATGGCATCTCGAAGAGAGAGAAGCGGATATACACACAATATACACACACACACAACACACACACACATATATATATATATATATATACATATATATACATATATATATATAAATATATATATATATATATATATATATATATATATATATATATATATATATATATATATATATATATATATATATATATATATATTTACATATCTAAATGAGAAAAGAACAGATAACGTAAAATTCGGCTGTTCGAATTGTTTAAGTGCTGAATACGAACTAGAACAATATATTATTATTAATTTATTATAAAATATTAGAACAAACCGATACATTTTTTATAATATTTTATAATACATATATATATATATATATATATATATATATATATATATATATATATATATATATATATATATTGTCATCCACAGACAGAGTGTTTCACTGTATCAAAAATCCCCAGTGTGGCTAGACGTCCGATTGTTTGAAACCGAAATCGAAACCCGACTGATTTGACATCAGTCAGATACATACCAATATACATGCACACACACACACACACACACGCATACACACACACGCATACACACACACACGCATACACACAAACACACACACACATATATATATATATATATAGAGAGAGAGAGAGAGATAGAGTGAGAGAGAGACAGAGAGAGAGAGAGATAGATATCAAAGACTATAGTGAGATATATAGATAAATAGAGAGGAAAGAATAAACTGTGATAGTTAGATAGATAGGTAGATAGATAGATAGATAGATAGATAGATAGATAGATAGATAGATAGGTAGGTATAAACACACAGATAGGCAAATAGATAGGAAGGAATATGCCGAAATAGATATATAGTTTTATAGAGAGGAATGAATAGACTGATAATATATACATATATATATATATATACATATATATATGTGTGTTTGTGTGTGTGTGTGTTTACATATATATATGTGTGTGTGTATGTGTGTGTGTATATATATATATAAGAAGAACTATACTGAGATAGATACATAGATAAATTAACCTTGAAAAAAAAAACGGCAGATAAGAAATAATAAAAACATAAAAAGAAATTAGCCAAAAGTATGAACTTAAAATTTAAGAAACCCAAATTTAGGGAAATTTTAGCATTATTTTTCATATTCCTAAAGCTTTTTAAAATTTTCGTTTTATTTCATCAATTATATGAAAAATGTCGGAGCTTATTTCTTTGGTTACAAAGAAAGAATTTCAATTATTCGGACTATTGTCCTCATATTTGTCGCCATATTTATCACAACATTTCGGCCGTTCTACGCTCCGGCCTTCTTCAGGTGGTTGGAATGTCGAACTGAACCCTTTATTTCACTCACTGGGGTAGACTGTTCTAGTTCCACGTTTGATGGATGTCAGCTATCAGTTATCTCCTGTTAATTTACCCTCTGAAAGTTCTCCACTTCCTTAACCGGGTATTGAACTCACACTCTTTGGGTCCTGTCACTGCATCTAAATAACGCCTTTATCCACTGTGCCATGTGCCTTGATATAGAGAGACTGAAGTATTTCAATGTTTTACTTTTCATTTCGAAATGAAACTTCAAAACTCGAAGACATTTCTTCCATTATGTTCTTTTTGGTTTTAAATCTGAAGTTTAGCATTCCTTTTATTTTCGAAGGACTCATTGTTTTTTTTTTTTATAAGACTCTTCAAAATTCTTTTTTCCATTCACTCATAACGGAAATTTTATCTGTAGATATCTCAAAAGAAATAACGTTTAGGTCAATTCAGAAGTCGTTTGTGTAAGAATTGAAATAAAATTTTCTAAGCTTATCTTAGCTAGTCAGAGTTGTCATGGCTGCTCTTAGCTCATCATAGCTTTTCTAAGCTTGCCATAGCTTGTCTAAGCTGGTCATATCTTGTCTAAGCTAGTTAAAGCTTGTCTAAGCTGGTCTTAGCGGGTGATAGCTTCTCTAAGCTGGTCAAAATTTGTCTAAGCAGGTCTTAGATTGTCTTAGATGGTCAAAGCTTGCCTAAACTGGTCAGGGCTTGTCTAAGCTGGTCTTAGCTTGTCTAAGTTGGTTTTCGCTGGCCATAGCTTGTCTAAGATGGCCAGAGTTTTTCTAAACTGGTCCTAGCTTGTAGAAGCTGGTCTTAGATGATCATAGCTTGTTTAAACTGGTCAGAGCTTGTCTAAGATGATCAAAGCTTTCTTAGCTAGTCTTAGCTGGTCATAACTTGTCTAAGCTGATCAAAATTGTCTAAACTGGCCAAAGGTTGTCTAAGCTGGTTTTAGCTTGTCTTAGATGGTCAAAGTTTGTCTAAGCTGGTCAAAGCTTGTCTTAAATGGTCATAGCTTGTCTAACCTGGTCTAGCTTGTCTAAGCTAGTCTTAGCTCGCCATATCTAGTCTAAGCTGTTCTTAGCTTGCCTAAGCTGGTCTAAGCTGATCATAGATGGTCATAGCTGGTCTAAGCTGGTCAGAGTTTGTCTAAGCTAGTCATACCAAGTCGTACCACGGCTAAGTATGAGATATTACGTAACAGTAAGGGTGGGGGAGCAAAGGCGTTGGACAGATAATACATCTGCAGAATTCATCCCGACAGGGAAAACCCCACTTCTACTCCTCTAGATCCAGAGGAGAGTCATTTTTAATACTTTCACACAGCAAGAAAATAAAGCCACTAAGACGCAAGGAATTGCTGTGTGTTAGAGAATACAAAGAATATACAGTATTCATGAGAGAGAATAAAAGAAAAGAAAATGAGGAGACAAAAGATAACGATTGACATTACAATGAAATTTTTGAAGATCAAAGTTGCCAGGAAAGTAAGAAGAGTGAAAGAGAATTAGAAGACTTTAGTGAGGGGAAAGGACAATAAAAGAAGAGGAATTAAGAAGACAGAAGATAATGATTGACATTGCATTGAAATTTTTGAAGATCAAAGTTGACTGGAAAGTAAGAAGAGTGAAAGAGAATTAGAAGACTTTAGTGAGGGGAAAGGACAATAAAAGAAGAGGAATTAAGAAGACAGAAGATAACGATTGGCATTGCATTGAAATTTTTGAAGATCAAAGTTGACTGGAAAGCAGGGAGTCGGACGATAATTCCACAGGCGAAAAGTGCGAGAAAAGAAACTCTTAACATAGAACTTATAGTTATATCTAAACAATTCAACTCAGGAAAAACGGCAGCTTAGCGGAAAAAGTCCCCATGATACACACAATTTCACACAGACATATATTTCTTTCTTTCGTTTTTGGAACTGATGAGGCCTAGAAAGACGAAACGCGTAATCAAATCTTGTTTCAATGAAACGACTTTCCTTTTGTCAAATTTATTTAAACTTTTGTTGGTATTGTATATCCTATCTTATGAACACATATACACACACTCGACATTTTACAGTTGGAATGGATAGATGTAACCGTAAGTTCTATGCTAGCAGTTTCTTCTATCGTATTTCTTGCTTGTGGAAATCTGTTCCAGCTTCTTGCTTACCATCCATTTTTGATCTTCAAAAATTTAAATGCTGTCATTCCTTATCTTTTGTCTTCTTGATTTGTTTTTTTCTCATATTCTCTAACACTCAGTAATCCCTTGCGTTTTAGTGGCTTTATTGCCTTGTTTGGCGTGAAATGATTTAAAACAATATATATATATACATACATACATACATACATACATATATATATATATACATATATATATATATATATATATATATATATATGTATGTATTTATGTATATATAAATAAGTTTAATAATATATGTTTAACATAATTAGGTACTATATTTCCATAAAATTCACCCCCCTTCACTCTTGAAAAGTGGGATGTATAACTAATACTAATTTCTATACCCCCCTCTCTATAACCTCTTTACACTATATTAATTATAATTTATAAACTCTCCCCTACTCTAAGATCTCCCCACAAGTCTCTTTCCATTAATCCATTGCATCCTTTTATCTATATATTTTAAAGTTATTTTTAAAACACTTTTTTATTGCTATTTTAATTTCAAATTAATATTTCATTCTTCATATAACCCCAAATTAATATCATAAGTTTAATATTCGGGTTTAATTTTATAAACTTTCTCTTTTTTAAAACAAATATCTTCCACACTCTCCCGTGACCCCTGTATTGTTCCTTTCGTCTGACCGAAACATTGGAATGGATAAATCACTCCAAATCGGGGTTTAATAAGAAAGAAGACCGATATCTTCGTCTGACGAAAAAGACTATTCCCCATATGAGATGATTTGAAATTTTATTGTTTATTAATTATTTGCTCTGTAATGATACATTGAGCTCTTTTTGTGGATCAGTTTTAATATTTTATATTACTAGGATTCACTTGGATTATATACCAACGGATTTGTTACTTTTACTATATATATATATATATATATATATATATATATATTAACCGATTTTCTTCTGATAAAGAAACAACTATTATTATCATTAAGATTAATCATTAATATGCTTGTAAAATCTTAGGTAAGCTGGTGAGACTTCAGTTTTGAAAAGAGTTTAAGCATCACTCTATTATTACCCAAAATACGGTATACCTGATCTTAGTTTGAACTTTTAAATCAATTGCAACTTTGTTTGTTTTTTCTTACTTATTTCAGACAATGTTTGTTATTTATCTATACAGTCCCTTGATTGCATCGCTTGTTCAATTTTAGTTGCAACTTGATTGTCTTTTTTTTTTTTTTTTTTTACCATCAGTGTAACTTAAGCCTCGTTTTCGTCACTGCAATAATCAAAGATCAAGTTGGAATGCATTAATAGGTTGAGACCTGAAAAATCCCCAAAGAGTTTCTGAGATTGCCTAACGAAATCGTCTCTGGCTAAAGTTTTAAAAATAGTTTTAGATTTTGCTCAGAGTAGACAAGATCGCTATGAAACTTGAGGGAAAACCTTGAGTCTAAATAGTTTTCGGCAAACCATACAGCCCTCTATAGTACCTCGCGAAATTACACTTGTCCCGGTAGCGTTAGAATCGGGGAGGGAAAATGTTTTCTATTTATTTCGCTTCGGCTATAAGTGTGCCTGCCTGCCTGCCTGTAAAGGGTGGGGTCTGCATTCCGGTAATTGAGTGCTACAGATGCGTAATTGTCTCATCTAACAGTAAAATAAAGTGGGTTATCGATGTGTGGGGATGCAGACATTGCAGGTAGGGTTCATGGTAGGGTAGGACTCACCCAGCGGAATACACTGGAATAGCTTTTTGGACTGTTTCGTCGCCAAATTTGTTCAAAATTAACGAAATAATATTGTAAAAAAAGGAAAAAAAATAGAAAAAATCTGCAAGAAAGACAAATACTTGCACGGTTAAACAAAAATTTACGTAGAGACAATTAAATATCTGTCTACACTAACACTGATATATATATATATATATATATATATATATATATATATATATATATATATATATATATATCAAGAAAATCAAATTAATTATCTACTATAAAAAAAATTAAAACTGCAAACCCCATTATCAAAAATAACTCAGCTGCAAGATCCAAATTACAGAGAACCAATATTATTTACAAGTTCACATGTTCATTAATTATGTGCCTGATCAAAGACACACATTACATTTCATTGACCATAGCTCAATTAGGTCTCATTTAAATACGCATGGAGGCATACAAAACTATTTGTAAACTACTCGTTGATAAAACCAATGTAATAGCATGGGAGTATTTTTTAATAAAGAGAAAATAGCCAAAACTTAATAATATCAACAATGAACACGGCCAAATTGTGCTGACCGTGTTTGGAAAGTAAAACATTCTTATAACTCTAGATATATACATAAAACATTTATGTAAAAATAAAATTCATCTTTGATAATGTTATGGGGACCTATCTACGTGAGAAAGAACTCTTCCTCCTTCATAAATACTAACCTGCGAGACTTCCTGAGGAGGCATTCGGGACGCAGACTCTGGCTGTTTGCGACCTCGGCTTTGGCAGAGAGGAACCCGGATTTTCTTTAAAAACCACTCACAAGTTTCTTTTTTTATTTTTCTTGTGTTCTTATAATCCAACCCGGCGACCTCGGCTTTGGCAGAGAGGAACCCGGAGTTTTGTCCGTGGAGGTAGACAGACCTAAACTGGCTAATGCGGGTTCTGTGGGGATATTTTTGGCTGAGCCTACGGGCTTGAAGGACTCACTGTAAACTCGGCCTTCGTGCCACATACATCCCGCGTGGGGGTGGGTACTGTTACATATTGACAGTCGACACGCAGTCTCTGACTGTGTGCAATTTTTGTGGAACTCTCTGCTTTGGCAGAGAGGAAGCCGGACGAGGCCTTTTCTTTCTCTGTATACCTTTAGGCCTCTAATAGGCCACAAAAGATAATGGCTAAATGTATAGCTGAAAGCGGCTGGAAAACATTTGAACAATTTTTATATAATTTACGTCCTGAGAGAAAAAAATATTATATGAACCCATGAAAATTTATATAAAAAGTTAACCACCACAAAAAAAATTGTCTGTCGTTTTGAACTGAACTTGCACACACACACACACACACATACACACACACACACACACACAATATATATATATATATACATATATATATATATATATATAATTATATTTAAAAATTTATAACATAAACATGTTATAAAATCACTACAAAAATAGCCATTTTGTTTCAACACTCCCGGTGTCTTATCAAGTGATGTTGAATGCAAAACAAATGGTTTTAAAAGTTTCAAAGTAGTTAACGATCCTTCACAATGGGAAAACGTTCCAAAACCTAGAATAACCAATCAAAATACAAGTATATAAGGTGCGAATCATCTTCTTCTCTCTCCAGCTATGGGTAAATAGCAGGACAAACTGGGTTCTGTAGCCTTGGATGGCAACTGGTCTAGGAGAAGGACAACTCTGAATTCAAAACCTGCGGAGGGTCGTTTTTGGACCTTGTGGCACGTGGTGCACCAGGTCTCTGTATTCGGCCCTTCGAAAAGTGTGGATGGTCCTGCACGAAACCTTCACCACTATAATCAAATCTCATGTGCTGTTATCGTGCTGTCGGTTTCCTAGGAACTGATCTGCTTGACTCTCATACGTCGAATACGACGGAAGATTGCACTATATATATATATATATATAGGGAGAGAGGAGAGAGAGAGAGAGAGAGAGAGAGAGAGAGAGAGAGAGCTAATACAAGTATAAGGTTACATCTCTCTGACCAAAGCTGAATTAGGTCTCATTTAAACACACACGGAAACCTACCAAGCATCATCCATAGCATACTCGTTGATAATATAAATATAATAGTATCATTTACATGTAGAAAAAGGCTCAAAATAAATGGAAGAATTATTAATAAAAAAGAAAAAAAAGTCAACACTCAATAACATCAACTATGAACACGGCCACAATGTGATGACCGTGTTTGGAAAATAAATAATTCCTATCACTCTAGATACATACATGAATCAATCCACACATTGAGTTAGAAGTATAAAAAAAAAGAAAATTCATCCTTGATAATGGCTAAAATTATAGCCAAAAGCGCCGGGACATCGAGAACTTTCGGACAATTTCTATATAATTTCTGTTCAGAAAAGTACAAACTTATAAGAACAAGAAAAATAAAAGAATAAACTTATAAGTCGTTTTTTAATGAAACTTGTATAAAAGAGGGATTGCTGCCGAAAAAAGTATGGTTTATATAATGTAGCTAGCTAGCATTATAGAATGCTTTTCATTTTTCAAACACATATGGAGACCTACCAAACTCCAGCCAAAACATACGCGTAAAGAATACAAATTATAATAGCCCCACCCACGTGTAAAAAAAAGGCTACAAATAAATAGAAGCATTATCTATGAAAAAAAGAAAAAGCCAACACTCAATGATATCAACTATGAACACGGCCACAATCTTCTGACCGTGTTTGGAAAATAAAACATTCCTATAACTCTAGATACACACATTAAAACAATCCACGCGTTCAGCTAAAAATGAAAATGAAATCATTCTTGATAAGGATTAAAAGAATAGCCAAAGGCCCTGGGCCGTACGCCCTTGAGGACCAGTAGATAAAAGCATTGTTTGAATCCAATAGCTTAATCCAAATAGTTGTGAGTTCAATACCTGTCGATAGCAGAAGTGAACAAAAACTTGGTGAGTTGAGTTAAAGAGAGATAACTGATACGGAGGCACCCGGAAGAGGCATGGGACGTGGAACTAGAACAATCTACCCGGTGGACGAAATAAGGGATTCGGTTCGAAATTTCAATCACCTGAAGGAGGCCGGAGCGTACAACGGCCGAAACGTCGTGAAAGTGGCAACAAAAAACAAAGATGGCAATAGTCCGAACAATGTAAATAGTTCATATATATATATATATATATATATATATATTAGAGTATGCAGCTTATATTTTATATCATAAAGAAACAATTTATGCAAAGAATTAATTAGTAATATTAATGTGATTAATGGTGAAATCACTTCGCTAACAAGACTTAATGAGACTTTAACTTACTATCAATTCCTTGAATAATAAGATCCTTAGAGTTGTAGTCAGATGGAAGACACATGCCAAGTACTTTCGACAATTTCAAATTGTTATCTTCAGGGCTCAATTTTTCCAAACACATTTGTCGAAAGTACTTAGCATGTGTCTTCACTCTACCAATTTTTTCCGTCTTTTTATTTTCTTTTTCTTTTTTACTTTTATTCTCTCTTTCGTTGCCTTCTTTTCTTTTGTTCTTTTGGTTTTCTTTTTCTTTCCTTCTTTTTCTTTTCTTCTTTTTCTTTCCTTCTTTTTCTTTACTTCTTTTTCTTTTTATATTTTTCTTTTCTTCTTTTTCTTTCCTTCTTTTTCTTTTCTTCTTTTTCTTTTCTGCTTTTACTCTTCTTCTTTTTCTTTAGTCCATTTTCTTATCTTCTTTTACTTCTTCCTTTTCTTTAATTCTTTTTCTTCTTTTTCCTTTCTTTTACTCTTCTTCCTTTTCTTTTCTTTTTCTTTTCTTCTTTTCTATTTCTTTTTTCTTTTTCTTTACTTCTTTTACAATTCTTCTTTTTCTTTAGTTCTTTTTCATTTCTTTTACTCTTCTTTTTCTTTTCTTTCTCTTTTCTTCTTTTACTCTTCTTCTATTTCTCTTCTTCTTTTTCTTTCCTGCTTTTTCTTTCCTTCTTTTCGTTTCTTATTCCTTTCATTTTTCTCTTTCTCATTCTTCATTCCGCTTCCTCGTCATTTACTTCCTTCTCAACATTTCGTCTTTTTCTATACGCCTTCCCTTCCTTAATTTTGTTTATTTAATTTTATACATCCTTTTTTTCTATTTCGTTTTTCTTCTCCCCCTATACATTTTTTTAAAATCTTGGCTATCCCGAGGTGGTGTAGTGGTTATCAAGCTTGTCTTGCTAGAACAATTACGAAAAATTAATAAGTTCGATCCTCAATAAGTGCCCCCCAACTTTCGGCCTTGTACCAGCTCTAAGCTACGCCGTCCCGGGTAAGACGATAAACTACGTCCAACAGCAAGGCTTCTGATGATGAGGTTTTGAGGAGCGTGGAACCACCTTTTAATTGCTGGTGTTCCAAGGTCCGCTCTGACCCATGGTGGTAACACCTGTTAGGGTCCCAGCTATGGGAAAATAGTTAATCTCAAAACTGGGGTAAAAACACTATAAAATGGTAAAAATAGGTTGTAATACCAGCAATACATTTTTGTAAAAAATGATGACTTGCAATGAATATTTGAAGAAAAAATTATTACCAGCAATACATTTTTGAAAAAAATTACCTGCATTACATTTTTGAAGGAAAAAAAAATATTACCAGCAATCTATTTTTGGAAAATAAATATTACCAGCAATATATTTATGACGAAAAAATATTGTTTGCAGTTCATTTTTGAAGGAAAAAAATATTACCAGCAAATACATTTTTGAAAAAAAAAATATTACTAGCAATACATTTTTGAAAGAAAATTATTACCGGCAATACATTTTTGAAAGAAAATTATTACCGGCAATACATTTTTGAAAGAAAAAGATATTACCAGCAATTACATTTTTGAAAAAAATATTGCCAGCAAATAAATTTTTGAAAGAAAAAAAATATTACGAGCAATACATTTTTGAAAAAAATATTACTAGAAATAATTTTGAAGGAAAAAATATTACCATCAATAAAAGTCTTGTCGGCATTAAATAACCCATTCAGGTTGATATACCGTAAAACAAACCAAACCAAATGTAAGCTACCCTTAGAAAATCACTATACTGTTCTTAACTTTCATTTTGTTCTTTTTTAATTATTTTTTCACTTTTTTCTTCCTTTTCTTTGAATTTTTCTTTTCAGTTTTATTTCAATTTTTTCTTTCTTTCATATCCTGCTTTCAATTTTATCCTTTTTTCATTGTCTTTATCTTCTTGATTCCTTGTTTGATTCGTTCTGGTTTAATGCATGGCGTCTCGGATTGAGGTATCGGGGTGACGTGCGAAAAGGTCTGAATTCATCTCTTCCTCCCAGCTATGGATATAAATAGCAGGCCTTATAGTATAGCTTTTGTTGGCAACCAGTCTAGGAGAAGGAAAACTCCGGCTGCCTTTTAGATATTGCCTCTTTCATTTATGAGACGAGGGACGGGGTAAAAACAAACCTCCCCGCGGCAAAAAAGAACTGGTAAGCCATTGCAATATTCTGTAACCATGACCCACAATTGTGAGATGGTGGGGAGTGGGGACCATACTGGCGGCGCAAAATAGGCTAACTATATAAATTCTTCTTCTTTTTTCTTCTTCTTTCTTCTTCTTCTTCTTCTTCTTCTTATTATTATTATTATTAATAATAATAATTATTATTATTAATAATAATTATTAATAATAATAATAATTATTATTATTATTATTAATAATAATGATAATAATAATCAGCTTCTTTTCTTCTTCTTCTTCTTTTCTTCCTCCTCTTCTTTTTCTACTTCTCCTGCTTATTCCTCTTTTCCTTCATTTTCCTCTTCTTCTTTTTCCTATTATTTTTCTCCTTCTTTTTCTTGTTTTTTCTTCTTCGTCTTCTTTTTTTCTGCTTCTGCTTACTATTATTCTTTTTATTCTTCATCTTATTATTATTATTATTATTTTCTTTTCTCCTCCTTTTTCTTTTTTGTCTTTTCTATTTATTCTTTTCTTTTTTATCTTTTCTTTTTTTCTTATTCTTTTTCTGCTTTTCTTTTATCTTCTTTTTCTTTTCTTCTTCTTCTTATTCTTTTCCGTCTTTTTCTTCTTAATTTATTTTTCGCCAACTTCTCCTTTTTCTTCTTCTTTTGTTTTTCTTTATCTTCTTCTTCTAGTTCTTGTTGTTGTTGTTCTTGTTCTTCTTCTTCTTCTTCTTCTTCTTCTTTTCCCTGCTTTACTTTGTCTTCTTCCCCTTTTATTTATTATATCTATTTTCTTCTTCTTTTTCTTTTTCGTCTTCTTTTTCTTTTTCTTCTTCTTCTTATTCTTTTCCCTTCTTTTTCTTTTTAATATATTTTTCGCCCTCTTCTCCTTTTTCTTCTTCTTCTTCTTCTTCTTCTTCTTCTTCTTCTTCTTCTTCTTCTTCTTCTTATTTTCCCGTTTTACTTTGTCTTCTTCCCCTTTTATTTATTATATCTATTTTCTTCTTCTTTTTCTTTTTCGTCTTCTTTTTCTTTTTCATCTTTTTCTTTTTCTTCTTCTTCTTCTTCTTTTCCCTTCTTTTTCTTTTTAATATATTTTTCGCCCTCTTCTCCTTTTTCTTCTTCTTCTTCTTCTTCTTCTTCTTCTTATTTTCCCGTTTTACTTTGTCTTCTTCCCCTTTTATTTATTATATCTATTTTCTTCTTCTTTTTCTTTTTCGTCTACATTTTCTTTTTCATCTTTTTATTTTTCTTCTTCTTATTATTCTTTTCCCTTCTTTTTCTTTTTAATATATTTTTCGCCCTCTTCTCCTTTTTCTTCTTCTTTTGTTTTTCTTTATCTTCTTCTTCTAGTTCTTGTTCATGTTGTTGTTGTTCTTGTTGTTGTTGTTCTTCTTCTTCTTTTCCCTGCTTTACTTTGTCTTCTTCCCCTTTTATTTATTATATCTATTTTCTTCTTCTTTTTCTTTTTCATCTTTTTCTTTTTCTTCTTCTTCTTATTCTTTTCCCTTCTTTTTCTTTTTAATATATTTTTCGCCCTCTTCTCCTTTTTCTTCTTCTTCTTCTTCTTCTTCTTCTTCTTCTTCTTCTTCTTCTTCTTCTTATTTTCCCGTTTTACTTTGTCTTCTTCCCCTTTTATTTATTATATCTATTTTCTTCTCCTTGTTGTTGTTGTTCTTCTTCTTCTTCAAAGATGGCTGCTGCTTCGCCTCTTTCTGTAGTCAACCCCCCCACCCCCTCAGGACTTTCAAAAACACAAATCCGTTTCGTGTTTAAAGAATTCTTCTTAACAGAATTTTGTCTCCTTTACCAGTGACATTTACGACAATACCGATTCCTTCTAACCGTCCTTTCCCCCCGCCCTTGCCTAAACATTTGCTTTAATATCCAAAATCTACCGTTTCTACTCACACAACAATACTCACTCCTTTCTCACTTTTCAACCTTTTCATTCTATTTACGTCATAGGGATCAGTTTTGAAATATAATAAATACTGGAGCCTTGCGCGTTTCACGAATGTTTGATATATTTATGTATAGGTTGATGTTTTAAGGAGAATTAAACACATAAAAGGGGTTTCGTTTATAGAACTTAATGAATAGATTTTCTTTTTTTTCGTCAGTAAGCAAAAAAATCTTACAAACATTTGATTAAGGAAGTCCATTTATTTGTGTCGGGAGGGAATTGGCTAATCTAGGAAAATGCGAAAGGTAATTAAATAGGAAACTTGATACGAGATAAATTGTGTAAAAACGAAAAGATCTTTTATATTTCCAGAGATTTTCTGAAGTGAATTAAACTTAATTTACATGAGGACACGTTTAAACGAATCAATTGAAAAATGTATAAAAATATTCTTTGAAATTCCAATGAGAAAAAAAGAAACCATTTTTTTTTTAATAATTTCCATTAGTTATTTTGAAGAGAAAATCAGGAATTAGCAATGGATTCGTGAAGATTCTAAACGCAATTTTGATAATCGGAATTTGTGGAAGAGAAGGCATTAGTAGCAGTAATAGCATCCACAATTTTGATTAGATCAAGCATTGTCAAGTATTCTTCATTTCTCACTAGGATTTCTTTCATCTTCATTTCAATTGCTTTATTTCCACTAGTAGTATTAGTAGTAGTAATATTATCTGCAATTTTCATTAGATCAAGCATTGTCAAGCATTCTTCATTTTTTCACTAGGATTTCTTTCATCTTCATTTCAATTGCTTTATTTCCACTAGTAGTATTAGTAGTAGTAATATTATCTGCAATTCTCATTAGATCAAGCATTGTCAAGCATTCTTCATTTTTCACTAGGATTTCTTTCATCTTCATTTCAATTGCTTTATTTCCACTAGTAGTATTAGTAGTAGTAATATTATCTGCAATTCTCATTAGATCAAGCATTGTCAAGCATTCTTCATTTTTCACTAGGATTTCTTTCATCTTCATTTCAATTGCTTTATTTCCACTAGTAGTATTAGTAGTAGTAATATTATCTGCAATTTTCATTAGCTCAAGCATTGTCAAGCATTCTTCATTTTTCACTAGGATTTCTTTCATCTTCATTTCAATTGCTTTATTTCCACTAGTAGTATTAGTAGTAGTAATATTATCTGCAATTTTCATTAGATCAAGCATTGTCAAGCATTCTTCATTTTTCACTAGGATTTCTTTCATCTTCATTTCAATTGCTTTATTTCCACTAGTAGTATTAGTAGTAGTAATATTATCTACAATTTTGATTAGATCAAGCACTGTCAAGCATTCTTCATTTTTCACTAGGATTTCTTTCATCTTCATTTCAATTGCTTTATTTCCACTAGTAGTATTAGTAGTAGTAATATTATCTGCAATTCTCATTAGATCAAGCATTGTCAAGCATTCTTCATTTTTCACTAGGATTTCTTTCATCTTCATTTCAATTGCTTTATTTCCACTAGTAGTATTAGTAGTAGTAATATTATCTACAATTTTGATTAGATCAAGCATTGTCAAGCATTCTTCATTTTTCACTAGGTTTCTTTCATCTTCATTTCAATTGCTTTATTTCCACTAGTAGTATTAGTAGTAGTAATATTATCTGCAATTCTCATTAGATCAAGCATTGTCAAGCATTCTTCATTTTTCACTAAGTTTCTTTCATCTTCATTTCAATTGCTTTATTTCCACTAGTAGTAGTAGTAGTAGTAATATTATCTGCAATTCTCATTAGATCAAGCATTGTCAAGCATTCTTCATTTTTCACTAAGTTTCTTTCATCTTCATTTCAATTGCTTTATTTCCACTAGTAGTATTAGTAGTAGTAATATTATCTGCAATTCTCATTAGATCAAGCATTGTCAAGCATTCTTCATTTTTTTTTCACTAGGTTTCTTTCATCTTCATTTCAATTGCTTTATTTCCACTAGTAGTATTAGTAGTAGTAATATTATCTGCAATTCTCATTAGATCAAGCATTGTCAAAGCATTCTTCATTTTTCACTAGGATTTCTTTCATCTTCATTTCAATTGCTTTATTTCCACTAGTAGTATTAGTAGTAGTAATATTATCTGCAATTTTCATTAGATCAAGCATTGTCAAGCATTCTTCATTTTTCACTAGGATTTCTTTCATCTTCATTTCAATTGCTTTATTTCCACTAGTAGTATTAGTAGTAGTAATATTATCTGCAATTTTCATCAGATCAAGCATTGTCAAGCATTCTTCATTTTTCACTAGGATTTCTTTCATCTTCATTTCAATTGCTTTATTTCCACTAGTAGTATTAGTAGTAGTAATATTATCTGCAATTTTCATTAGATCAAGCATTGTCAAGCATTCTTCATTTTTTCACTAGGATTTCTTTCATCTTCATTTCAATTGCTTTTATTTCCACTAGTAGTATTAGTAGTAGTAATATTATCTGCAATTTTCATTAGATCAAGCATTGTCAAGCATTCTTCATTTTTTTCACTAGGATTTCTTTCATCTTCATTTCAATTGCTTTATTTCCACTAGTAGTATTAGTAGTAGTAATATTATCTGCAATTTTCATTAGATCAAGCATTGTCAAGCATTCTTCATTTTTCACTAGGATTTCTTTCATCTTCATTTCAATTGCTTTATTTCCACTAGTAGTATTAGTAGTAGTAATATTATCTACAATTTTTATTAGATCAAGCATTGTCAAGCATTCTTCATTTTTCACTAGGATTTCTTTCATCTTCATTTCAATTGCTTTATTTCCACTAGTAGTATTAGTAGTAGTAATATTATCTGCAATTTTCATTAGATCAAGCATTGTCAAGCATTCTTCATTTTTCACTAGGATTTCTTTCATCTTCATTTCAATTGCTTTATTTCCACTAGTAGTATTAGTAGTAGTAATATTATCTACAATTTTATTAGATCAAGCATTGTCAAGCATTCTTCATTTTTCACTAGGATTTCTTTCATCTTCATTTCAATTGCTTTATTTCCACTAGTAGTATTAGTAGTAGTAATATTATCTGCAATTTTCATTAGATCAAGCATTGTCAAGCGTTTTATATATGAACTTAATTTAATGATATTGTTTTATTCATTCTTGTGTTTCATATTTTGTGATATTTTACGTTAAATATAAATCGTGTTGTCATGTTAATAACAGACATCTACAAATGTTCCATTCTTGTTAACCAACCACAACACGTTCATTCATCTTCCCCTAGGACCTCAGACTCAAAACGGGGGCCTACATTGCCTTGAAGAGCTGGTGCTGCCCTGGGTCAAGAGGGTGGCTGCTGAGATACCCTATATCTGGCAACGGGATTCTGCACCATGCCACACATACAGGAGAACCCAGTCATGGCTGTCAGACAATTTCTGCGACCACATCACCCTTTACATCTGGCCACCTATCTTCCCAGTCTGCAACCTCCTTGATTAATATGTGCGCAGCTTAACACCAAAGATGAACTGAAGGTAAGTATTAAATAAGTATCCAACAACTTAAACAAGGAAACCGTTAGAATTGTTGCAGGTGATTCCGATGTCGCCTGGAAGAGATGTCAATGTTATTTTCTTTTTTTTAATCGTCCATTAGACGACAATTTATCCATCGCAGCCTCTTTATATATATATATATATATATATATATATATATATATATATATATATATATATATATATATAGACCAGGACTATGGCAGCTCGATTCACCAACTTAAAATGGAACCGCCCTGAAGAGTTGCAGGCTATACCGAAGTCGTCTGGAGGCCGGAGTTGAAGCCAGTGGCGATTTTATTGAATAAATTTACTCTTTAGTATTTTCGAGATATTTTGGTGTAATTTTTTTTGGTAAATATATCTGTTAAAAATGAGATGTCAGTATTATTTTCATTTTGGCGTCCTTTAGACGACAATTTATCCATCTCACCCTGCCCACTTTGATTTTCGCGTCATTTGGACGACAGGCGATACCGAAGTCGTTTGGAGGCCGTCGTTGAAGACAGTGGCGATTTTATTGAGTAAATTTACTTTTTAGTATTTCAAGATATTTCTGTGTAATTTTGGTAAATATATCTGTTAAAAATGAGATGTCAGTATTTCATTTTTGCGTCCTTTGGACGGCAAT